CACACTATTCTACATTAAGCCAAGCCTGCTAGCATTAGCATCAAGTAAGCTACAGCCAAAAATCACAATTCATACACAATTCTCATAACAAACCACTTCTTTTACTAAGTTTTCCACTTAGTAAGCTTAGTAAGTAATCTCTCTAGTCTTCAATAATGTTAATGCATATTTACTAACCCGTGGTAAAGAACAGAAACACACACACATTGAGCGGTGTTAGCTTCACAATGCAAAGAATTATTTTTCTGCTTCACACACTTACCACCCTTATGATAAACGCCCTCTAGTGTCTCGATGTGGAATAGCATGTTAATGCCCGAAACTGCCACAAAAGTGCTTGACTGACAGGTTAACAAAACAAACATTAATTTCGAAAAAAAATCTTCACAGGTGATTGTTTTTCTCTTTCTCTTTTAAAGTATCATGTTTTAACAGATTACTGTTTGCACAGAGAACCGATTAGGCTTCTTTTGTGTGCAGGTGCAGGTCAGGAATCAGTTTATCCATACACTCAGTGAAACTACACTCATCCCCACGGTTACAGCCTTAAAGCTTTCTTTTAGCGTGATTAGTGATCAAACATCTGACACGTACATGGATGTGTATGTGTTTGTAACTATGTTTGGATCAGAGGTCACTGACTCTGATTGGTTCCTCCAGCTGTTCTCTGACCGCCCAAAAAGGAGGAGGTGAGGATGAGGGTGGACCTCAGAGTCCTGATCCAGGTTCCCCGATAAAACTGCTGTCATTTGATTAATGAGAGCATGCTCGCCTCCATTCAAAGAGCATGCTCAGTAGCGACTGTTTCATTAAGTCCATTAAGAGTATCCCCACACCTGAGCTAGCCGACTTCATTCCTGCCAAAATAAAGGGCTTGAATGCAATAATCACAGCTGTTTTAGACTTTCCAGATGTGGAAGCGAATGGATCAAACACGGCACCAGACGAAAAGGAAGAAAAATTGCCTCCTTTTCAGGCTTTCAACACTACCAGAACCTGGACAGATATGACAAACAGGAAACTGAATGTTCATGAACGTCAGTGAGGAAAACTGTACACGTGACAGCAGCCACAACCAATGAGACAAAAGAACTTCTGACATGTGACAAGGTGGTAACTCAACCCAAGATTAGAATCCTTGCAGATGGCAGTGACAGTTACTCATAGTCATGTGACATGTTCAGTCCTGTGACCTGTGAAACAGGACGTGTTCATTTATGGCTCTGTGTTTGTCTGTGTGCCCACCCCACTCAGAGCCTCCTGTAACACCACATTAATTAAACATTTTCTTCTTCTACAAACAAAACTTAACAATAAAGGAGTCAGCTGAGAGCTTATTGGCTCTCTGACAGGAAATACTGACTAAAAACAGCGTCTCCAAGGATGTGGATGTTTTACTTCTGTGTGTTTGAAATAAGCTCTGAAAGCAGCAGCAGGTGGAACCAACAGGATCCTGCTGCTTCAAAGTCCTGCAGCATGTTGGCCTACTTATCCTGCTCATTAATGCCGGGTAAGCCTCTAATGCTCTCTCTCTCTCACACACACACACACACACACACACACACACACACACACACACACAGTGACAAGGCGCTCTGTTCTCTGGGGACAAAGCAGAACAACAGATCAAGGCTGAAACACAAAAACATGAATGTGTGATGACATGAGGATGAAATCAGCAGCAAGGTCAAGAGACATCGGCCGACTGTAGGCCAGCAGAAGAGAGCGAGGTGAGTCTGTGTGAGGATGAAGAGTTGGTAAGAGGAAAAAGTGAAGTGGCAGGTGAAGGGTTAACACAGGCCAACACGCAGCGATCTGAACCAACGGCTGTAAAAACTCTGGTCGTGTGTGTCTGTCGCTGTGCTGTTTTACTCCTTGTGGTTTGTGTCATTTTATTCCTCTGTTCTCTTACACTTTCGATCAGGGATGTTAAACTCTTTCACATCCTGGGCCTCGTACGGGGGGGGGGGGTCAGACCGGTGAAACTGGCCTTCCTGTCAGCGTAAAGATGTTTAACTGCACATTTAATCCCTGAGTCATCTGAATATAAGATAAAGAAGTACAACTCCGGCGGCACATTTCAGTTTCTCTACATGACAAAGAAATGTTGCTCCAGGTTTCGATAGCACTGCCCTGTAACAGGAAGTTTTTTTTCATTTACAGAAAATGTTTAATCTTTCTTTTCTTTTAAGCTGGGAACCCATCATGATAAAAAAAAAAAAAAAGACATTTCTATAGCAGATTGCAAAAAGACAGGAACTTTTCTGTCACTTTATCTGTTACTTAATTACTGTGGTGTACTATGATTGTGGGTGTGTGAGTGTGCGTGAGTGTGTGCATGTATGGCGAACATTAAACACTTTGTTCCATCAAGTTTGATCAAGCTTTTTCAGCCTGTGATGGGACCTTGAATCAAACTGAGGTGTGAGGTTTATGTTTGAGCACACAGGGACTGAAGAGAAGGAAGCTGAGCTCATGGTTGAGGAGACCGATGCAGGAAACTGTTCACCAGCAGGAAACCTTCGAGGAGGACGTTTCAATCATAGGCCTTCATCATCAGTCTGTTTTTTATGAGACTCTACACATCCTCGAGGCTGCAGGAGCATCCCTGATGTAGATGGAGAGAACACAGCAGAGCCTTTCAAAATAAAACCTGGATAAGGTGCAGTGATGATTTTCAGCTGAACACGTATAAAGTCGTGATGACCTGATAAAGACATATGAGCAGCGGTGTCAGCCTCTGATCCTCCTCTCGCTGATCCGAATTTTAAAAAAAATACCACAGCTTGAGTTTCATCCAGTTTTGACTCCACAGCTGCAGCTGAAGGTCATAAAAAATATGATCATGTGACATTTTAGTGGACCGCGGCAGAGCTCAGGGCTCATATTTTCAGTTTGGTCACGTCTTGTTTGTTCACCACTCTGAGGTCAGCTCTGTTTGACCACTGCAGAGTTCCACCTCAGGACCTTTTTGTCACATGTGAACACAGCAGACTACACTCTGACCTCTGAGTTCGTATTTCCAGTTCATAGATAAAATCTGCTCAGATGTTACGTTCACACAGTGATTATGAAACAAGTGAAATGAATCTGAGAACTCACACAAACAGGCTAACAAATCACCTCAACGGAGCTGAGCCAGATGTTTTATACTATAAGGTGATGAACAACAATATTAGAGAGAAATCCACAGCAGTTAGATGATGGTGTAGAGACTAAGGTCATTTCATCTCAGTCATAACTTCATATATCAAATATATTTCAAGATATATAGTTTTTTTTTTTTACATATTCCACTGAGCCACACTTGTTGCCTGACAGCAAGAAGTTCCTAAGTTCAATTTGACCAACTGGGGCCTTTCTGTGTGGAGTTTGCATGTACTCTGACTTCCTCCCACAGTCCCCTGGGTGTACCCTCAGACAGCTGGGATAGGCTCTAGCCCTCCCTACCTGAGAAACTTGGCTGGTTGTGTTGATTGTTGGTTGGTTGACTTTGTTGATGCTCTTTACCTATACTGCTCACTGACTTTGTGTTACCAGGTGGAGGAGGTCAAAGATGAAGATGTTGAGGTCCTGCAGGCTGCTGCTGTGGCAGGTGGCTCTCAGACTTTCTTATAATGTTGTTATAGGTAAGACAATTCAAAAACGGCTTTTCTCTGATATCAGGCACTTTGCCGTCATCAGTGCCTTTTTGTCCACGGTGGTGCAGCGGTTACTAAGAAGGTTCCCGGTTTGAATCTCAATGTTGGATTAGGGTTTTTTGAGCATGATCTATGCCTGTGTGGGCTCTGTCGGATATCCTGGCTTCCTTCCAAGTCCTAAGACGTGCTCGATTGGGTAACTGGCAACTGTAAAATAATGGGAATGTGAGGTAAAACGGTGCAGCATGATTTGGTTAAATGTGGCTAGTAATCTAAGGTTGGTTTAAGGTGATGTGATAAAAAGATCCTGAAGTCCTAATCAGGACTAAAAAAGTAACTCTCTACTTTCAGACACTCCTGAGAAGTTTGTCTTTAAATATGTCTTTAGATAACAACAGAACCGGATCAATAAAACCATAATCAGTTATTGATCGTCCTCACTGCCACGGACACATCAGATATCCTCTGCTTCATCCTCAGCGAGCCTATGTCGGGAGGGCTCCGACATCTTCACCTCAGTCAGAGAGAATAGTCCAACAGGTGAATTCATCTCCAGCATCAACATCACTGCAGGTCCACGAGCTAACACCATCCGCCTGTGTCTGTCGGGACGCAACGCCAACTGGTTCTACTTAGAGGGCCGGACCATCAGACTCAACTCCTCAGTGTTCAGAGTCCTCGACCGAGAGGTACACCTGAACACCTCTCACCTGCAGCAGAAATACATCTTAAAATGTCTCACCTCATGCTGGATCTCTGTCTGACAGGTGGAGGGATCAGTGCTCATTGCAGAGCTAATTTGCTATGAAAATGACATCATACAGGTAAGTCATCTGAGGTCCTGTGCTGAGCGGTAAATACATTTGATGACTCAGAGTCGCTCAGGTGAGTCTGCACCTGTTTCAGGGTAACTACAGGATTTTGGTGGAGATTCTGAATGAAAATGACAACAAACCAAACTTCCTGTTGGAGACAATTCAGCCGTTCACCATCAGTGAGGTACAACCAGAAAAATTACCTTCATCTTAACCAGCCAATGAGCATCCATCACATGTACATCGTTTTAACAGGTGCCTCAGGTGTTTCCTCACCTGTGTAAACAGGATTTTTCATTGTTTTGTGTGTAGCTGACAGCAGTGAACTCGGTGGTTTTCACTGTGAAGGCTGTTGATGCAGATGGGGACATGATCAGCTACATCATCGACCCGTCATCAGTAAGAATAACGCCCACCAATTGCTGCTTGACCATGAGCTGCAGCTCTTTATTATCTCACCTGTCATCTGTCTGCCTGCAGCAAGATGCCCAGTTCTTCAGGATTGACCTGCCCAATACTGGAAAGGTAGTTCTGAACAAACCTCTGGACTATGAGACGAGAACTCACCTGCAGCTCATCATGTGGGCCCAGGTAACATTTAGACAGGTGATACATCCAGGTAATCAGGGTGAGGTCAGAGGTTTTATTTTACTGCGAAGTCATCACAGGACATTACACTCTAACCAGCAGGAATGCAAGACTATTCAACAAAAAAAACAAACCCTGTGATATCTGATCGTCAAATTATCACAGAAAAGTGAAAATAATGTCACACCTCTACATACCTGACAGGAATCAAACACCGTGGACAAGTTCAACACATCTGCTGTTCTCAACATCAACATCGAGGATGGTGATGACCAGTATCCTCACTTCTTGCCCTGCACACCTGTGTCTCCAGGTGTGCCTGTCTGCATGAATCCCACCTACACAACCAACATCACACAGAAACACCAGGTAAATACCCGAGGAACCAGGTGGATGCAATTATTTACAAACTGGCTTCTGAAAACATTACCAGACCGTAAAATGTCAATAAAAACAGCCCAATGTTTCTGGAGATGTTTTTCAGTATCACAATATTTTCAAGTCATTTAGATTTTAGCGTCCCAGCATTTAGGGAACAAGTTTTATACCTGTCCACATACCTGCAGGTATTTATTTATTTATTTATTGTTTCAGGACGTGGGTCTGGACTTTTCTCCTGGCCCAATCACAGCAGAGGATGGAGACAAAGGGATCAATGCTCCTCTCACCTACACCATCCTCTCAGGTCAGACTCACTCACACTCACCATTAGACTCATGTACAAACATGTGTGTACAGGTGTGTTTGCTTCACCCACAGGTGATGATCAGGGCAGGTTCACGATCAACAACACAACAGGTGAGATCAGGTTAACCAGAGCAGCAGATGATCAACGACTGACAACAAACTACATGCTCACAATCATGGTAACGACATACCTTCCTGTTTTCTGCTTCATTCACAGCAATTGGCCACAGTATGTCTTTTATACTGTCTTCCTTCTCTCACCCCTACCTGTCACTGCTGATGGCTGCCCCTCCCTGAGCCGGGTTCTGCCGGAGGTTTCTTCCTGTTAAAAGGAAGTTTTTCCTTCCCACTGTTGCCAAACTCATAGCACTTATCATATGATTGTTGGGTTTTTCTCTCTATGCATTAGTGTAGAGTCTACCTTACAATATAAAGTGCCTTGAGGTGACTGATATTGTGATTTGGGGCTGTATTAATAAAATTGAATTGAATTGAATTGAATTGAAAACTGTGAGACATCTACTTTCCCTCTCACCTGTACAGGTGTGCCAGGTGGATGACAGGTTGAAGTACAGTGTGGCATCAGTTCTGGTCAGAGTTCTCTATGAGAACGCATTTCCTCCGGCCTTCAACAGAACCACTTACAAAGGTTTCATCATCCAGAGCTCTAGCCCTGCCTCCATCGTCTCCACCTATGGGAACCAGGTGTTGCAGGTCCAGGTGTCAGACCGTGACTTCCCTGATGTAAGAACACATGCTACACTACCTGTGTTACTTACATCATCATATCAGTGAGTCATCTCTACTGTCAAATCACAGGGCAGGAACCCAAATATCCACTATTTGCTCCATCCTCCATCCGAATTGTATCAAGTCACAAAGGAGGGGGTTCTGATCGCCAAGACAAACCAACTACGCGCCTTTGACAGACAAATCCTACAGGTGAGTAAGACATAGATCAAACCAACTCACCTGTTAAACACCACCAGTATACTGTCACCACCAGTATCACGATTAGCTGCCGCTGCTAGCACCAACTCAATGTCTCATTGAGAGAGTGGATCCATGGTCTTATAGGTGGAATTTTTCCACCTTAAAATAATATCAGAAGTCTGAATAAGCAATAATGAGGGGTAGAGGCTTGATGGGCCTGACCTTCACCTGTAAGATGGGAATCAGGTGATTTTCAGTTTGTTAACTTTAATCCCAAGTTGGTCGGATGTGGTTTGAATTAGCTGAACCTGAAATTATTTTAAAGGGTGGATCTATCCTGGATGGTTTCTCTGTGTGTATCAGTGTCTGCAGGAGGTCAGTGACCATTACCAGGTCCAGTTTCCTTCACCTCCAATAAAATGATCAGTGTGCTTGGTAGAATAATGTTTAACATCAGGAAATTAGATAGTTTATATCTCACGATGATACATCATGTTCCGATTGAAATAAAACAGCTGTGCCTCAAATATGGAGTAAGCAAGAAACTAACAGCCATGTTTGGAACATCAGTGAAAGTGTAGCTGATGGTTAACTGCAGAGAGGTAGTTACGCTAATATAAACTTATGAGCACAGAAAGATGGAGGAACATCTGCTATCTGCTAAAGTGATATCAGTAAAGTTCATGTTGAGAGACAAACGGCACCATATGACAGGAAGAAGATGCTGAAAATAGACCAAGGTCAGCCCAGAGGTCTGAGATGATCCTCAGTAACTCTTACTGCTACCTGGTTTAGATTACTCTGAAAAAGTTCTGGACCTCAGCTTCAGATCCACATTGATTCTTCTCTGGGACGTTCAATTTTTGGTGTCCAGCACCCAGTGAGCGGACAGGGTGCAGTTGCACCACAAGTTTTTAAAAACTTAAAGACATGCTGCACAGAATAAAAGGCTGAAGAGGCTGAGAATAAATACTTTTATCCAGTGAAACTAGAAACAGAGGCCTGGAGCACATTAACTTGTTAAAACTGGGTTTTAGAACTTTTAGGTCATATTACAATAACTCTTGAACATTTGGCGGTATCGAAAAATTCCAATAGGTCCAAAAAGCATTAACTCTGTGCTTTTTCACTGATATTAGAGTCATTATTGTAACCCCAGGCAGGGCGCCACATCCAAATCTTGGCAAATAAAACTGAAAACAACACAGCAAACAGCAAAAACGTCTCTGTGGAGCTGCTGTGACACCATGCTTAGCAGATTACAGTAATGACCCTAATATCAGTGAAAAGCACAGACTCACTGCTTTCAGGAACCATTGGAATTCTTTCAACTGAACAAATGGTTTGGGGGTTACGGGAGTTGCAGATGTTTAAAAAAAGGTGCAAAACCCCTGTCTGATGGCAGTGACAGGTGGTTAAAAAGCAGAGACTCAACCGATGAGGAGACAATAGGAAGACAGCAAAGTAGTTTTTTTTCATTGCAGTACAATTTTTCAGTTTTAGTATGATTCTACAGAAACAAACTAAGCTGAAGAAAGAAAAGTCCCCCTGTAGTCAAAGAATGCTAAAAATAAATCTGTTTGGATTTGTAAGAAAACATCTCTGTGAAATAACAAGGCCTCGGGCTGCAGTGAGACATCTTTCAGGTGGAAGTGATCCAAACACCAGAATCAGCAGGAGGAGAGACTGAAGATCAGGACTAAAAGCTTCACAGTGTGAATCCCCTTCAGCTCTTTGAACACTTTAATGTTGGTCTAGAAAAATCAAACAAACACAACAGTTTTTAATCATTACTTTGGATGATTTTTGGTTTTAACCTTAAGGCTGACCCGTGAACACTGCTCTAATGTCCGCTCTGCAGGTCATCGCCAGAGATGAAGAGTCGGGAGAAGAAGTGTCAGCTTCAGTGGACATCGAAGTCCTGCAGAGAGGCCAAGCAGGTGAGCATGAAACCTGAGAACATGCGTTAATATGAACATACAAACACACATATTACAAACATGAAGCTGTGACATTACACAAGGTGTTATTTGACACTATTACTGATATTGTTACTCCTGCTCCACCTGCTGCCATTATTCCTTCTAATGAAGACTGTGAAACATTTCTTTCTTTCTAGAAAAAATAAGTAATGTAAGGAAAAAATTGTCCCCACCAGCATCTGCATTGTCAGTTCCTACGCCATCTCGGCCTGTCATTTTAGAAAGCTTTTTACCCGTCTCACTATCAGAGCTGGTAAAAATAGTTAATGCAATGAAAGCATCCTCCTGTTCACTCGACATTTTACCCGCATCGTATTTCAAAAATGTCTTCCACACTATTGGTCCCTGTGTGCTCACCATAGTTAACACCTCACTGGGGTCTGGTAAAGTCCATGCTTATTTTAAAACTGCTGCTATACACCCCCTGTTAAAAAACCCCACGCTGGACCCATCTCTCACTAGCAATTACAGACCAATCTCAAAAATACTGTTAATTGCTCAGATATTAGAGAAGGTTGTGGCTAAGCAGCTTACAGCAGTTTTAGACAAACATAATATCTTTAACAAATTTCAGTCTGGCTTTCGTGGAGCTCATTCTACTGAGACAGCCCTTCTTAGAGTTTCCAGTGACATTCTGATGCAAAACGATGCAGAAAAATGTTCTGTACTCCTAATGTTGGACCTCACGTCAGCCTTTGACACCGTTGACCATTACATTTTTCTTGAAAGGCTGAAATACTGGGTTGGTGTATCTGGGTCTGCCTTAGAGTAGTTCTCCTCGTATCTCTATGAACGATACTTTTCTGTGGCGGTCTCTAAGTACAGGTCATCTTCCACGTCCCTGTCCTATGGTGTGCCACAACGTTCTGTGCTGGGGCCCTTATTGTTTTTAATATATCTACTTCCTCTCCAGCATATTTTGAGCCCCTTTGAGGACATTCGCTACCACTGCTATGCAGACGACATCCAGCTATATATTTCTTTTAAACCAGAAGATGTTTCTAAGCTGCAGATTCTAAATGTGTGCTTAGAATCCATCAAAGGTTGGATGGCTGACAACTTCCTCCAACTTAATGAAGAAAAGACCGAAGTCCTTGTATGTGCTCCAGACAGACATGTACCTAACATAATGAATGCTCTTGGTCCTCTTTCAACATTTGTGAAATCATCTATCAGGAACCTAGGGGTAACCTTTGATTCTGCTCTTACCCTGGATGTTCACGTCAAATCTCTGGTTCAGTCCTGCTTCTATCATTTAAGAAGCATTTCTAAATTGAGCCCTTTAGTATCTCATACTGAACTGGAGATTGTTATTCATGCATTCATTTCACCATGATTGAACTACTGTAATTCACTGTTTACATGTCTAAACAAAAACTGCAGTCTGCAGATTGTCCAAAATGCTGCAGCAAGGCTTCTGACAAAAACATCTAAGTACTCTCATGTAACACCGTTGCTTATACAGCTGCACTGGCTCCCCGTTGAATTCAGAGTCCATTTTAAGATACTGGTTCTGACATTTAAAGCTCTTCAAGGATAAGCACCAGCCTACATCATTGAACTTTTACAGCCCTATGTCCCTAGTAGGTCCCTGAGGTCTTGTGATCAGGGCCTACTTGTTATTCAGCATACAAGGCTGAAAACCAAGGGAGACAGAGCTTTTGCCACTGTGGCCGCCAGACTGTGGAACTCTCTTCCTCAGAACTTAAGATCTGCGGACTCACTTTTAAAAAACAACTAAAAACACATCTTTTTAGAATTGCATTTTGTTAACGTTTGTCTGTTTTTGTCTTATACCTTGTGAAGCACTTTGTGATCTTTTATCTAGAAATGTGCTATATAAATAAAATTGTACTTACTTACTTACAAGAGGGGACTGAATGCGAGCGGTCAAAGGTAACTGATCACTAATTCTTTGATGAGTAGGAAGGACATTGATCTGTTTCCTTTATTAGATAAACACACACACACATTCACAGCTCCCATGATGCTTTTACTGAAATAACTTCTGTGTTTCAGTGCCAAGTGGTGCGTTCAAGGAGCAACAGTTGTTTGGAGACGTGGACAGCACGCTGGCAGGAGGAATCGCTGTGCTTATCCTCATCGTGCTGCTCTCTGCGATTCTGTTTCTGCTACTTTGGACCGTCCATAGGAGACGCGTGCAGAACCCTGAGGATCGCCCCGCCATCGCCTTTGGAAAACATCCCAATGTGGTACGAAGTAAAACCTTTAACACACCTGAGGGGGTGTTTGAATTTCACACACCAGCCGGACAGAGAGCATAAGGGTCTAATGTGATGTAATTCATCATCCACCCATCCACCTTTCATGGAGTTGGTGTTGAAGCCTATGACAGCTGCCTCTTTGACCCGTTTTATTAAACCACAGGTTAGAAATCTTTGAATAGTCTTTTGTTTGAAATTTCATGAGGAAATAAATGCTGTGTTCATTCTGCTGAACCGCCTGAAACATGAAGCTATGAGTCAGACTGAGATGTTAAACTGTTGTCTAGAGCGTTTCTGCAGCATCACATATTCAGACTGCTGTTTCTGAGGTTTGTTCCGCTCACAGGTTCAGATGATAAAATCTGTTGTGTCTCAGATATTAAACTGAGTCATGTGTGTCATCTCTCTGCAGAGGTTACTGTGGTTTCACATGGTGAGTTATTCTGAATGTGATGTCGCTTCCTGTGGTTTCAGTACTCGTGTCATGTGGTGAACAGTAGATCCTGAAGTCCTCAAACACAGCTTTCATTGATGTCATGATTTTACTATTTAACACATTGGTTCCTCTTTAGCTCCTGTTTATAGCAGGACTTTATGCGCAGTCTGACTCAGGTGAGAGACTGACCTGTGCTGTGTGATTCTCAGGTGAGCAGCCCACCTGTCTTCGTGGACGAGTCGTCACACGGCAGCAGAGCTTTTACTCGTCAGTCTGGCAGTTTTCATGGCAGACAAGGAGTTTACACCAGGAGGCCATCTCTGCTTCCTCCTCCATCATCATCACAGCTCAGCGAGCCTGGAGAGAGCAGGACCAGACCCCCTCTTCCTCCTCCATCATCATCATCACACCTGTTTACTGTTGCAGAGAAACATGAAGGTGGAGCTCACACCTGGGAGGATCTGAGGTTGCCAGTTGAGCCCGCAAGTATTCATGGTGAAGACATACCAGCAGTCAACACTGGGATGCCTCAGAGAGACGAAAACATGAAGACTGATTGATCAGAGGAGATGCCACTGGTGTCCAAACCCTACCAATCAGAAACCAGAAAGAAACGAGTCACATATTCAGCCAATTAGAGAGCAGGAATCCAAACTGTACTTTAGTCATACTCGTGATTCACTTTTTTTTCTTCTGGCGGCCTTATTGGGGGGTTTTTGTGGAGAAAAAAAGTTCAAAAATAAAAACAAACTTTTAATGATGTCAGTCTTTTTATTGTTTCCAGAAGATTAATTAATTTTGTTCTGATAATCAGATCTCGACTTTAATAAATCAGGATTTTACAGACACATTTGTAAAATCAACCCAGCCATCTGTCCGTCCATCCAGCCATCATCAATCCAGGTATCCATTTGTCTGTCCATTCATCCTTTACCTTACCCTAACCTGTCACCTGAGGAGTCAGTCTTGTGTTCATGTTTATCAATCAGGACTATTGATCAGTTTCTTCTTTTTTTGGTTGTAAAAAAAAAAAAAATCATCATCCCCTACTGCAGCTCTCGAGGTGGAAGCTAAAGCTCTTCACCTTCCTCACTTCTCCCTGGCTCTTCTTCACACTAAAAACAGTTATCATGTTTCCAGTGAGAGATCACGTGACCGGTAGTCCTTGTGACATCATCGTGTTGCAAAAAAAAGCATATTAAACACATAAAGAAAAATTTATAAAACGGATCAGTATTGATTACCTGCACTGATAATGTCTGATAATAAAACACATTTTATTTAATATTTTTCATTGGTATCTGTCAAATTTCTGTTGTGCTCTTTATTGTTTTATTCTGATTAATTCTTTCTGAATGGATATTGATTGTTTGTGATAAACAGGTCAACAAAAACTAAACGCTTGTTTTAAGTTTCCGGAAGGAGGAAGGGAGGATCCTGGAGACTACCAAAGAAAACAAAGTCCGTAAAGTTACCTGAAGAGAGGCGTAACTCGCCGGATGCCGCCTGACACACCTTCACAATAAAAGATTCAGCGTTTAGAACTGTCAGGATGTTTGTTTGTTGCGGTTTGGTTCTGTCCGGGTTCCTCTCAAACAGATGCATGGTTAGGGTTCCTCGGGGATGGCTATTTAAGTAACTGTGCATCAGTTTGACTCTTTCTGTTTTTTTAAATAACTTCTGCGGAAGCTTTATTTTGTCGAGAGCTGATCTGCCACCGGAAGCAGTTTTCCTTCAAGTTAACTTGACGTCATGTGATCGGACTGAGGACGAGTTTGTCTCGGGACTTTTCTCCGGCCCTTCAGCGCTCCGCCGCCCTCTGTTTGTTTGTTTTTGTTCCTTTCTTTGTTTGTTTGCTGACGTCACGGGCCACCAGACTCTGAACCAGGACCGGACCCGGCCAGGTGAGTCCATCCGCCCAGCGCGCACACGCAGTCATGTATCTGTGCTCGTGAACCCGCGCGGAGTGAAACAGTTCGATCAAAAACCAATTCCTCGACAATTATTCACTTATTACAGTTATCAATTCAAAGCTCCGAAGTGTCAGAAGCGGCTCGTGCTCAGGGACCGTTTCCGCGGTCTGAGCGAATCCTCTCTCGCTCCCAGTCCTCCCAGCATGAGCGTCCAGCCCCGGCGTGTCCGCCTGAAGCCCTGGCTGCTGGCGCAGGTGAACAGCGGCAGGTACCCCGGTCTGCAGTGGCTCAGCGCGGACCACCGCCTCTTCCAGATCCCCTGGAAACACGCCACGCGCCACACGCCCGTGTCAGACGAGGAGAACACCATCTTCAAGGTCAGGTTAACCCTTCACACCTGACCTCTAACCTCTGATATAGCATCTGCTGTGATCATGTTTCAAGTTTCAAAAAACTTTTTTTTTTACAGAAAATAGTAACGCACACTCGTTTTCATATCTTGGTGAGGACCTCGTCTCATTTCATAATGCTTTCCCCAACCCCAACCATCAAAAATGAATGCTGAATCCTAACCCACAGCCTAATCCTAAGTAAGCTAATTGTAACCCTGTCACTAATACCACATGGTGACACATTTTGTCCTCATAGGTAATTGTTAGTCCCTACAAGTATAGTAGCATACCATTTTTTCTGTCCTCACAAGATGTCTAAACATGTACACAAATACAAACACACGCAGACGGACAGATGCACACATGTGCACAAACACACACAAAAACAGATACAAGGACACACACATACACGGACACACACACAGACAAACCAAAGTAAAAACTACAAGCGGGTTCTTGAGTGACACATGTGAAGAGGAAGTAGGCGTTTGACTTCCTCCTTCCAGCGGAGTTTCGTTTCACAGTTTATGAACAACTTCAGTTTGAACACAGGTGATGATGTCACTTCCTCCTTCTCTGCTGACTGCTTCCTCTTTTGTGTGTCAGTCTGAGTGTTTATTGACTTTGAGTAGGGTTGCCTATGATAAACACTGGAAACAAAGGGAAACTGCTGGCACGGCAAAACATCTCTCAGCTTGAGCACAGGTGAGTCCTATCTGTCAGATGTGAGTTATGCCCTGGTCTGTGTGTCCTAGGCATGGGCTCTGGAGACGGGGAAGTACCAGGAGGGAGTAGATGAACCCGACCCTGCCAAGTGGAAGGCAAATCTGCGCTGTGCTCTGAACAAAAGCCGCGAGTTTCAGCTGAAGTATGATGGCACCAAAGAGACGCCGGTGCAGCCGTACAAGATCTACGAAGTGTGCGAGCACCCCGGGAGCACAGGTGAGCTTCACCTGCACGACTGTAACCTTCTGATGTGCAATGATGACAGGAAGTGATGATCCCCGTTTTGTGTTTCAGACGGCGCTGAGGACGATGACGAGGAGGTGAGAACGATCACATGATGTAAACAGTCTGACATGTTCTCACGTGACTGACCGAAACACTTTGATCCTTTCAGATGCCGAACCTGATGGACCTCTCCATCAGTAAGTACACCTTCGACTCAGTGTCACCATGGAAACACTGTGGCTGTTGATGTAATGTGATGATGCCATGTCTCCTTAGACCCCAGGCTGAGTGACTCCGCCCCCTTTGCCTCCTTCCCGGCTCCCTCAGAGATGAACCAGTTCAGCCTACCCCCTAACGGGACATTTGGACCGCCGCATATCCCAGTGCCTCTGCTTCCTGACATCACCATGACCTCTGATCTCCAGGGTCAGGCACACTTCCTCCATAATGGACTTCAGGATCTGAACGCTGCCGCTGCGCAACCAGAGCCGGACCTAATGGAGGCCAGCAGCATGGTGGGCGTCGAGAACCAGGCAGAGCCTCAGAACCACCAGCCCTGCAAGTACGACCTGCTGAGCAGCGTCCCACGTGAGTCCTGACCTCTAATGCAGTTTCCTGTCACAGATTCAGGGCTAAAACGCTACCACACGTGGCGCTGCTCAGACAGTTTACCATCAAACCAACTCTGATGTCACACTTTAACAATACAGCACCACAAAGCAGAGCTCAGGGTTACCTTCACAGACCCATGATGTTCACCTGCGCATTCACAGGTGAACATTAGGGCTGTGCTTTATGACCAAAATCTCATACCCTGATGTCATTTCTTGTCCCTATAACGATTTGTTTTGGTGGCTTTACTGTGGTGACTTTTGCTAATTCATGGTCCCCCCTCTACTGGCACAGTAATGGTCCTGTATCTCGTGTTGCTATAGTAACAGATCTGGACCTGAAGTTCCAGTACCGGGGCCGTACAATGGGCTCTCTGACCGTCAGTAACCCTCAGGGCTGCCGGCTGTACTACGGACACCTGGAACCGACCCCAGAGCAGGTGGACCTGTTCGGACCTGTCAACCTCCAGCAGGTGCTGTTCCCGGGAACATCAGAGATGCAGAACGAGAAACAGCGATTTTACACCGAGGCCTTGCTGGACGTGATGGACCGCGGCCTGATCCTGGAGATCTGTGAGCAGGACATCTACGCCGTCCGCCTTTGCCAGTGTAAGGTGTTCTGGTCTGGACCGGGCATGCCAGAACACGGCCCGTCCAACCCCATGGAGAGAGAGAAGAAGATCAAGGTCTTCAGCCTCAATGACTTCCTGCAAGGTGAGTTTGGTGTGCGGGATTGTTGACATGCTGCCTGATATGTTCTAACCGACATGCTTCTGTCCGCAGGGCTGATCTTGTTCCAGAAAGGCGAAGCCCCGAATCCGCCGCCCTTCGAGATCTACTTCTGCTTCGGGGAGGACTGGCCCGACAATAAACCCAAAGAGAAGAAGCTTATCATGGTGCAGGTGAGGGGGCAGAGCTTAAACTGAGTGGCAGTGCTAACGGTTTTATAACAAGTGCAAAAAAAATGAAGAAGCCTTGGGTCCGAACACGTCAGAACCAGAATCTTTATGAGCTCCACCCCTCCACCTCCAGTTAACCTTCACTACATCACTTACCTCCTCCTGAGCAGCCTCAGTACTTCCTATTGGCTGATGTTGCTGTGAAGAACCTGTCTGTCTCCAAACCCCTAACTAAACAACATGACCCGAGTCAGAGCTCAGTCCTGCAGATGCCAGGAAATAGTCAGGGTCAGCTCCCATTGGAAATTCATGAAAAGGCAAGGCAAGTTTATTTGTATAGCACAATTCAACAGCAAGGTGATTCAAAGTGCTTTACAGAGACATTAAAAAACAAAAACAAATAAAAAGCATGATTTAAAATAGAAAAAAAGAAAGGAATAGTAGATAAAACCAGTAGTTAAAATGTAAGTTTTGAAATTTAAGCTTAAAAGTAAAACAGTGCGGATTTGGTGCTTTATTCAAATGCAGCTGAGAACAGGTGAGTCTTCAACCTGGATTTAAATAAACTGAGTGTTTCAGCTGATCTGAGGCTTTCTGGGAGTTTGTTCCAGATATAAGGAGCATAAAAGCTGAATGCAGCTTCTCCGTGTCTGGTTCTGACTCTGGGAACTGATAAAAACCGGATCCAGATGACCTGAGGGATCTGGAAGGTTCATACTGGGTCAGGAGGTCACTGATGTATTTTGGTCCTAAACCATTCAGAGCTTTATAGACCAGCATCAGAACTTTAAAGTCTATCCTCTGACGGACAGGCAGCCAGTGTAAAGACCTCAGAGCTGGACTGATGTGGTCCACTTTTTTGGTCTTAGTGAGGACTCGAGCAGCAGAGTTCTGAATGAGCTGTAGTTGTCTGACTGATTTTTTTAGGTAGACCTGTAAAGATGCTGTTACAGTAATCAAGCCTACTAAAGATGAATGCATGGACTAGTTTTTCCAGGTCCTGTTGAGACATCAGATCTTTTATCCTTGAAATATTCTTGAGGTGATAGTAAGCTGACTTTGTTATTGTCTTAATGTGTTTTTCTAAGTTTAGGTCTGCATCCATCACTACACCCAAATTTCTCGCCTGGTTTGTGGTTTTTAGATGTATAGATTGAAGTTCTCTGGTGACCTGTAATCGTTTTTCTTTGGCGCCAAAGACTATTACCTCAGTTTTGTTTTTGTTTAGCTGGAGAAAATTGTGGCACAACCAGTCATTAATTTCCTCAATGCATTTACCAAGAGCCTGTACAGGGCCTCGGTCTCCTGGTGACATTGTGATATATATTTGTGTGTCATCTGCATAGCTGTGTAGTTTATTTTGTTGTTCTTTATAATCTGTGCCAGTGGGAGCATGTAAATGTTAAACAGAGAGGGGTCCCAAGATGGAACAAAGTATTTCCTGTTTTCTAAGTATGTTTTGAACCAGTTTAGTACAGTTCCTGAAAGACCTGCCCAGTTCTCCAGTCGTTTGAGTAATATGTTGTGGTCAACTGTTCAAATGCTGCACTGAGATCCAGTAAAACTAAGACTGACATTTTTCCACTGTCTGTATTCAGACATATGTCATTAAACACTTTGGTCAGAGCGGTTTCAGTGCTGTGGTTCTGTCTAAAACCTGACTGGAAGGCATCTAGCAGTTATTCTGTTTTAAGAAGTAATTGAGCTGTTGAGAAACTGCTTTTTCAATGATCTTACTTAAAAATGGGAGATTTGAGATCGGCCTGTAGTTGTTCATTTGTGTCTTGTCAAGATTGTCCTTTTTCAGTATAGGTTTATTACAGCAGTTTTTAGTGGTTCTGGAAACACACCTGACATTAAAGAAAAGTTGACGATCTGTAACAGGTCTGACTCTAAAGTCTTTGAGACCTTTTTGAAAAAACTTGTTGGCAGGACATCTAAACAGCAAGAGGAGGAGTTCAGTTGACCTAAGATGTCCTCCAGGTCTTTGCTGTTAATAGGGTGAAACTGTTTATGGTGTTTAAACAGTTTTTCGGTGGACACAGTACATATCCTGGATCTGCTGTTGATGTACCAATTGCTTGTCTAATCTTTTGGATTTTTTCTGTGAAGAATTTGCAGGCCATGGTTGAATGAAGTTCAGCTGCCACTGACACAGGAGGGTTTGTTAGCCTGTCAACTGTAGAAAATAAGACCCGAGCATTATGGCTGTTTTTAGTGATGATGTCAGAGAAGTAGGACCTCCTTGCACTCCTCAGTTGTAAATTATAATTGTGAAGTTTCTCTTTATAGATGTCATAATGAACCTGGAGGTTTGTTTTTCTCCATCTGCGCTCAGCTTTCCTACACTCTCTTTTTTCATTTTTCACCAGTGTGGAGTTTCTCCATGGAGACTTTTTCCTTCCAGAGATAACCTTCACCTTAATGGGAGCAATAGTGTCCATTACATTTAACATGTTAGCATTGAAGCTATTGACGAGCTCATTGACTGAACCTCTGGACAGGTCAGGTGTTAATGGGAAAACTTGGTAAAAGATTTCACTACTGTTTTCAGTTATACACCGTTTTGTGATCACTGCTGTTGACATATTTATGTGGGCTGAAATTATACTTTCAAAGAAAACACAGTAATGATCAGACAGGCCCACATCAGACACAGTAACCTTTAAAATGCTCAGGCCCATGGAGATCAGTAGGTCAAGAGTGTGTCCTCTATTATGTGTGGTCTCTGTTGGGTCAGTTTTAGCTCTGTTGATATATGTGATGCTAGCATGAAGCTGTCAGGTCACATGTAACAGGGAACAGGTTTGTGCTAATATTTGTCATCTTTGTTGTTTAAAACATACTTCACAAAGTTTGTACTGCAGTAAAACTCAGACATTTCCATGACAAATTTACTCTGATTACACAAACATGCAGGTGCAGCTCATAAGTAACTGGACATGATTTCCCTGAACTTATTGTATATTAGTACATTACAGCAGAGGTGGTAAAAGTACATTCTGTACTTAAGTTGAAGTGCAGATACTTAAAAATACTGCAGTAAACGTTGAAGAACTGATTCAACGTCTTTACTCAAGTAAAAGTGAAAAAGTACACGCTGTGACGTGTACTCATTAGGTTAGGATTAGGACATCTCTATCAGCTATTATTATGCAAAGGTAAAAGGAGCCTGTGTTATATTAATACAATAATAACATAGTATTAGTAAATGAGAATAAAAACGCTATTCAAATCTGAAATTTATTTCTCATGAATGCACTCATCTTGAATCTGTGATGTAAACAAAGAATTTAAAAAAGGTATTTTATGTTGCCTCCATGGTAGAGGCTGAGTTTGCCTCCAGGAAAACGTGTTACAGGTAAAGGGGGCTCAGCGGGGGGCGAGTCCCAGCTCACAGTGCAGGCTGTGATCAGCTGACCTGAACACGGTGTCAGCAGATGTTTCACAGTTGTATCCGTTAGTACAAAGGTGGAATTCAGTGTTGATCTCAGCGCCATCAGCTTAACTTCATATTAATCTCTGCTGCGCTTTATGTAATCTACATTACATCAGCACGCTAACCTGTTTATCTGCACTTCATGCAATGTTTGAATAACACACAGTTAATTTACTTGATTTGTTATGCAGCACGTTTCACAATATGAAAACTCATCACACACAGATGTGATTAAAATGATGACATCACATGCAATCCTTAAATCTCCCTGAGCAGGCCTCACCTTTAAATATACCCTTTGTTCTTCCTCTTCTGTCTTCTTCCTCCACCTCTGACTGAAGTTACCTCTTATTCTTTTCTCTCCCTGAGAAGTTCAGCAGCTAGGTTGTTAGCAAGGAAACTCACTAACAATCTTGCATTTGAAATTAGCTGCCACTTAAAAAAGCGTCACTGCCTTCATGCTTCCCCACACTTGCACTGGCCCACAGACACCTGGAAATTCTACTTAAGTAAAGTAACAAAGTATTTGTACTTTGTTACTTTCCACCTTTGTACTTCAGTATATTTCTTGTTACCTCAGCAGCTCTTTCTGTTTCTGTGCACTTTGTTAAAGAGAGGTAACAGATACATAAATGCAGATGTGAACATAAATGTGAGGTCGGAGGTCAAATATGACATGATAGTCTTGCTTTCTACATGCTGTTGACACAAGGCGCACATGTAAGAATCCAATTTTTTCTGCCCAAAGCACAAACCCGATTCTTTAGTAAAATGTTGAATATCTGTTCTGTAGCCTCTCCTGGTCACCTGTCTGTGGGTGTGCAACTAAACACATTTATGAATAATTCCCTCGAAGCGTGTAGTTTTCCCTCCACACCTTTCTCTCTGTGCAATTCCTGTTTTTAACCCAGTGTTAGGAATAAAGTTTCACTGTGTGGGATGCAGACACACAAGCCAGGTCACCTTTCAACCTCCTGACTGCCTCATGTTCATGGAGCTCCAGACACCTGTGGATGTCTCACAGTGTTTTTTGTTTTGTTTTTTGTCCTCAGGTGATTCCTGTGGTGGCCCGGATCCTGACAGAGATGTTCTCCGGAGAGCTGAGCTGGTCCACGGACAGCATCCGGCTGCAGATCTCAAACCCCGATGTGAAGGATCAGACAGTGGCACAGTTCAAAGAGTTGCAGAGGCTCCTGCAGAGCCAAAACATCCAAGGACCCTGGAACCCCACCGGCCCCTGAACCAGGGGCCCTGGACCCGACACAGACACTGCTTACTGCACCCTCCCCCAAACAGTAGGAAACCCTGACTGGAGGGAAGGTGCAGCTGTACAGAAACTGAACATTTGAGACAAACGGGTGGAGGTCTGCAGGTGTATTTCCTGTTCTGTTGTCATACCGACACCTTTCTGGGAGGTTTCTATGTTCAAATTTCAATAAAGGCCGTTGCAGTATTGTCACACCAGGTGTTTTTGTTTTTAGACCAGGTAATAGGTCTAGCAGGCCTGAGAGGGTCAGACTCTACTTCGGTGTTTACCTGGGGCCCGTTCTTCGTACCTCGCTAAGTAAGTTAGCTGGATTAGATTGTTGACGATTTCGCGTGATCCTGGATCGTTCGGTTCCCCGAAGCTCATCCGGGACTTGCTGTCATAGCAACAGAGCCGTAAGCGTAAACCTGCTCGGGAGCAGGTTTACTTTATGTAAACAGGATTAGATCGCGGCCACGCAGGTATGTCCGCTTCATTTATACGAAAGCAACAGCGATATTCCACCACTGTTTCACCATAAATAAATAACATCAATGTAACTAAAGATAATGCAGCACTTGATCCTTTATTGATGTCACACAGATACATACAGGTCATTTCCTAAAAAAGGGAAATGTACTATTAACATTCTATTACATGTATGTGATTATTACAGATGTAATTCATATTTCAGAGTAGTAATTGCAAATTACTTCGTGTAATCAAGATGAGAGACCACGGCTATAAAAGCGAAGGTGGATTTGGGAAGCCTGTCGCAGCCATGTCCTGTCCGTATACGCGAGCAACCCATTGCGGAAGGTGCAAGATTGATAAGGAGAGTCCTCAGAATTCAGCGTATATTGCGGGATAGACAGGATCCTTTAGCTCAGCGCGACAGTGTGCTCATAGAGAGATATCGATATTCCCGTGAGGGTATTATTTACTTAACCAACTTGTTGACGAGGGGGTGCAGGACCACCACCTGTCTTTTTTTCCTCTGCCCTTTTCTTGGTTGCTGTTATGAACAAACTAACAGAGTATTACAGGCCAGTTACCTTGCCAAGAGACGAAAAGCAATCTAAGAGATAAATATTACCATTCTGTAGAATACTCCTGTATTCCACTTTTACTTGTTCCCATGTTCTTGTGGGTCCTGTTGTGGCTCTAATGTGAAAGGGGATATAATATAACATATTATGATATAATATAATGCCATATGATATTGGACAATATAGTGTCATATGATAGATCTACCCTACCGCCTACTGGTGTTGGCCAGAGGGGCCGATGGCGCGATATGGCAGCCTGGCTACAACCGTAGCTGCCTCCACCAGTGTGTGAATGTGGGAGTGAATGAATAGTGGTATCGTAAAGCGCTTTGGGTGCCTTGGAAAGCGCTATATAAACCCAATCCATTATTATTATTATTATTAAATTACCTACGAGTTTGATTTGTCAGCAACTTTCTGCCAGCCCTCTCTCCTTGCTTTTGCAGCCTTTGCAGTGTTCTCTTGCGTTTTAATTAAACTCTGAAACTCCTGAAATCCCTCACTCATGAGTTCTTGCTCTGCTGCCGGAAAATACCGAGCACGCCCCTTCGACATTTTCGCCGACCAATCAGCGGGTTGCCGATCACTGTTTCTGCTATCGATGCGTAGCCCCTTTTACGACACCCAGTGATCGCGCATTACTTCATCCAGCTGTAGTAATCGTCAACAGCAGGTGTGTTCGGGGAACCGGATTAGCGAGCTCACGGTTAGCGCGATGATTTGATCTTGGATGTGTCATTTGATCTTGGATGTGTCATTTGATCTTGGATGTAGTAAGCGACGTACGAAGAACAGGCCCCTGTTCAGGTAAAACCTGAAGCATCAATTTAAATGCACTAAATGAGTGAGCCAGTGTTTTGATGCCTGACTGAACCTGCAGGTGTCTGCTTTTGGGCTGTGAGTAAATAAGAATTTAATAATCAGTAGTTTCAGTCTTGGAAAAATATGCCATACACCTGAACCTTCCTGCTCACCTGACCTGCAGCTCCAGAATCAGTATGACCTGTGTCTGTTTACATCAGAAATAATCAAATGTTTTTTGTATTTTGAATAAAGACGATGGTTTGAATGACCTCTGATCTCTTTACCTTACGCACCTCACCAAATGATGGAAAACATCAAGGAAAGGAGATAAGGACTTAGGAAAAGAGATGCTCGGCAATGCAGAGGATCTGACAGATTAGTGAACGTCACACTTGATTTACTGACGTGTCTGAATTACAAGCTCCTCGCCTCCCCAGCGTTCATGGCTCTGCATTCAAGCTGGGGATAAATGAAGGACTGGGGCTCCTTTCCTCGGGGCTTAGAGACTTCAGCTCCTGACAGTCAGTTTGAGAATTTCCTGCAAGAAGCCACTCAGACACTCCCCTGAGGTCTGAGGACAGGAAGAGCACTTCAGTGAGCTCCAGGATGTGGTCCTGAGCAGGTTCAGGTCTGACTCACGGATTTGTTCCTGCGTGACGGTTTAACCGCGCTTACATCACACCTGTGACGCATTTAAACTGAGCCTTCTGCAGACCAACAGCTCCACATACAGAGAAACTTTTTCCATCTTCTCTGTGCTGTAGCATGAGACCTGGAACGATGCAAACCACCAGCTCACTCACGCCCTCCGATGCCCAATATAGCTGCTGCACTGCCTTCACGAGTCTGTCACCGACCTTGGAGCGTCTCTGATGGAGGAGCAAAAAGATTTGCTCTGTTTGACTTTGAAGAGTTCTGTGATGAAGGTTTCTATTATTTTAGAAAGCCTCCGCACCCTTCTGAGCCAATTCATCAGGTTCCCAACCTCATTCCTTCCAACACCTGCTAAGCAGAGCGAGAACCCAAACACCTGGCTACCATGCAGCTGTCTGACCAACTGGCACAGGTAAGTGAGGTGACAGTAATAACAGACACACTGGATGAGCAGTTTGTTTTTTTTAATTTGTTTACAACAAGGCTACATCACCGATGATGTCATGGTGTCAGTCTCTCCGCCTCATTACCCAGAGTTCACTCTGTTTCACTTTGTGGAAGAACAACTAAAATTCAACCAAAGTTAAAAAGGTCAAAGGTGACGCCAAATCCTCCCGCAGCACGCTGCAGCCAAGAGCATCATGGAAAATCTTTTGGCTCCTTTTATGGCACGGACAAAAAAAAAACAAAAAAAAAAAAAACCCCACCACGACCAAAGTCCAAAAATAAATCTCTAAAAACTGTTGACCAGGCACATCCTCCGATTCACGACCGCAGCTTCCTGACCCCGCCCACCTGCCGGACCCAGCCCCGCCCACTCACCACCTGCTGCAGGTGAGGTCAGGTGAGTTCAGGTGAGCTGGGGTGGACTCATTCTGTCCAATCAGTCTTCAATCTGTCAGTCCTTCAGAGTGAGCCGCCCTGTTCACATTCGAAGTCCTTCATCATCTTCATCCCTTTGGATCCTCGTCTGCAGACGCAGATTATTGCCGTCACCTCTGAATGCTCGTCAACAAAAAGATTTACCTGTGGGGAAAAAAAGAAGTCTTAAACATATCAGAGAAGCAAACAAACTCAGGCTGAATACACACCTGAGTGTACTTGAGAACAGGCTCACCTGGCGGTGCGAGAAGGCTGCAGCTATCGGAACAGTCTGGTGAACTCTCTGATGGCCCAGCACACCTGTTTACACTCCTCAGCGCTGCAGAACAACAAATGTGAGGTTATCTACTTGTCACCTATGCAGGTGTTCCACACACTGAATGTTTATCAAAAACATTTAACCAGACCATGAGATCAATTTTACAGGAAATAAACTCCTCAGTTGGAAGAGGTTTTTTTTACCAGTGCATATAGTGTTTTTCATACACCTGAAACCTCCCAATCAGGTCAGGACAAGTCCAGACTCGCTCAATCCAGACTCCAGTTTGTCTGCGTTCCACCATCAGACGAGTGAGTCTCGACAAAACCTGCTACACACCTCACGCACTCTTACCTGAACGCCTCACAGTCAGTAATGCCTGTTTCTGAATGCCACAGACAGCAACGCCTGTCCCTGAACGCCTCACAGTCAGCCATGCCTGTCCCTGAACGCCTCACAGACAGCAACGCTTGTCCCTGAACGCCTCACAGTCAGCAACGCCTGTCTGTGAATGCGTTACTATTTTTTAACAAACAGACGTTGAAGCTGTGTTCAGTTTCACCCAACCCAAAAACAGCCTGTTCGTGTTGGTGGAAAAATGCACCATATCGACCAACCAAAAAAATGATATGGCAACATGACATTTGGTTGTTTCAGGAGAGGGGGAAGTTTTAGGAGTGACGGAGAGAGAGAGAGAGAGAGAGAGAGAGAGAGCAGAAAAAGAGAGAGCGAGTTTAGAGATGTGAGAGATTTGTGACGTTTAGCGTGTTTGGAGTGTGTAGTTAATGTGTAGTGTAGAGGATAGTTTGGTGTTGTGTGTCAGTAAAATGACACGACTGCTGAATAAAAACAATGATACACCTGCTGCTGTCAGACTTGCAGGGATCAGGCTGTGATGTTCTCCTTTATAGTGGACAGAAATTATTTTTTTGGAGTGGCACAAATAATTTGTGTGGCATCTCATTGAATGCAGAACCGCTGATTGTTCTGTAACTAGTTTGAAATGGTTATAACAAAGGGTAAAAGGTAAATGGATGCAAATAACTTTGTTGTTTGCAAAACTTGTGCAGAGGATTTTAAAATTGACAATTTATATTTACATTTAAAGTTATGAAATATTATCATTAAACATGTTTGTGGTTGTTACATTAAAAAATATAACTTTTTCTACTCTGATTTTATGTTTATGTTTTTTGTCTGATTTTAGATCAACTGCGTTAACACAGTATGTCAAAAATGAAAACATGACTGTAAATTCAGACACGCGAGGTTGTGCTGAAAAGAATGAGACCAAACAAGGCAAAGTAAATAGTTTTTAAAGGTAAAATGTGGAGGGAAAATCAAAAGTAGTTAAAAATGACCAATTATACCCTAGACCTCAGAGGGTTAAACGGGTTTTTTTTTTTAAGTAACGCAATAGTTACTTTTCAAGTAATTAATTACTTTTAGAATATTGCAACTCAGTTGCTAACTCAGTTACTTTTTTGAAGAAGTAACTAGTAACTATAATTAATTACTTTTTCAAAGTAACTTGCCCAACACTGGTTATCTCACCTGGTGACCTGTTTATGGAAGTCAGTCAGCTGTTTATGGGTGACTGTCACGGCGCCGCCTGACGTCTCCTTCGGTAAACCTTTCAGGGCGCTCTCTAACCAGCGGCAGAACGTCTGCAACACAAGGACACCATCATCAGCACCTAGAGTCACCCGACACCCCCAGCATGCACACAGGTTTGAGATGCCTGACCACCTACTCACCGGCCGGTCGAACACCATGATCTCCCACAGCACCTCGGCGACGTCAGGTAGCGTGTACGGCGGCAAACAGAAGCAGCATGAGTGCATCAGCTGAGTGACGAGCTGCTGGCCGTGCTGCTCCATAGCCTGACCAATCAGACGCTTTCTCACCTCGAAGTCCTCCTCGTGCTGCAGACCCACAGGTGTTAAGGTGAAGCAGACTCCTGTGACATTACTGGCGTTTACAGCACGTTTCCATTAGACTTACATCGTTGGCGACTCCTGTGTGGATGAGGTCTCGGACAAACTTCATCACGCTGCAGTTGGCGTCTCGGTGGTCCAATGAGGTGGCGGCGATGGCGCACTGTATGATGTGAATGATGATGCTGCTGCTGAGCAGTGTGACAGGACTTCGCTGGACGAACCTGAGCAGAAGAGGATAACGGGTGAAAACGGGCAGAGCTACGGAGCGTGGCACCATCGGGCTCAAATGGGCGGAGCTTCAGACTCACCTGGTGGCCAGCCTGAAAAGGTCATCCACAGTGTCAGGGTGATTCCTTAGACCGTTCGGCTGCTCCAACAGCTGGAAGGTCGGCATGCAGAGAGCCTGAGGAGGAGGAAGCCACACCACCATCATCATCACTGACCAGCTTAATGAGCACATAACAGAAAGGTGGAGCCTCAGTGCCCAGGTGTGCTCACCTGTAGCATGTCGAGTAATCCCTGTCTGCAGCCCTCCTCCATACCGTACTCATCCACCAGGATGCTGCCCAGGTACAGGAAGCAGGAGTGTGGATACACCTGATACACGCCCACCATCTGACAACAACACACACGTGATTGTTTCATTGGAAACAAAACAACACTGCATCACCAGGGATCACAGATTCTCTCTAAACCAATCAGAATTGCTGACACTTTAGTCACAGCACCCCCTGGAGTCTGGCAAACTGCTTTGAATCTGTTCACAGATGATTATTTTGTGTGACAAGTTTCAACAACAAACTTCATTTGATTGATTACTGATTGACTACATCATGGTGCACATACTCAAAGCCGACTGGAAAAGCTCTGATCAGCTGTTCTGGAAGCTCAGAGTTTATTTTTAAACTCAGAGCTTGTTGAACCTGCTTCCTGCTCGCTGTCCGATATGAGGTCTCACCTGTGTGACAAGCGGCTGCAGCAGGGAGGCGGAGCCTTTCCCGACACAGCGCACAGCGAACCTGAGGCAGCGACAGCAGCGCTCCACGATGCGGTTATCAGCCTGGTGAGTGTTCAGAGTCTCCGACAATACGGGCCAGATCTGCAAGTTACATGACCAGAGGTACCTCTATCACATCTATTCAAATCACTCTATTCAAATCAGACTTCCAGGTGAGCGCAGGTGTGTTACCTCCTGGATGACTTTCTGACACGGGTGAGTCTGTCCATTCTCGACGATCGGGTTTGTGTGTCTGCAGAGAAATGATGTGTCCACCGTCAGCTGTTTCATTAAAGTTATACTGGAAGTGAACAAACAGGAGAACTCACCTGAAAATCACAGCCAACCTGTCGAGCCACACCGTCGGATCAGCTGATTTACCGTTTGTGGACTGCTCAGTCAGAAGCTAAAACACAAACAAGTAAACACATAAGTGAACAAACAAACAAACACACAAACAATCAAACAAACAAACAAACAAACACACACACACCCCTCTGACCTTCTTCAGAGCAATAACCTGAACAGCACACAGGTCGCTCAGACACTCTGCGATCTTCTCCAGAGGAAGTCGAGCCAGGACCAGAGCCGTACCTGTACAGGTAATAGTACACTGATGTGATTACACATGAGCCTGCTGCATCTACACCACTCATGAGGATAAACCTGTGTCAGAGATTTAAACCTTGTACCTTCTAAATGTGACCATAGGTATCTGATAAATTCAAGGCAGGTACAGTACAAATATGTGATGATGTCAGTGCAGGTACCTTTGAGCAGGCCGACGGCAGCCTCTGTGGAAAGGGCGAAGGAGTCTAGTGAGCGAGCGATGTCCAGCAGCCCGTGGAAGTGCTGAGCCATGTGATCTCTGCACACGGAGCAGATGTTGTGGATTGCCTTTGCTGCCGCAGATGCCAGCGGTTTCTCTCGCAGACCTTTCATCAGGTAGTTCAACACAGAGTCTGACAGGAAGTACAAAATATTATTCAGTATTCCCAGATGCACCTGTGAAGCTACGACATCCTGAAAGGCAAGGAAGTTAAAACATGGCTGACTGCATCATCAGGACACTGCCATTGTTCAGGATCATTCCTCCGTACCAAGGAATCTGGGATTCCTGTCCACGACCTCGCTCATCTCGCCAACCAACTCGATACTCGTGTATCTCACCGCCATGTGAACGCTCTCCGGAAGTAACACAATCTGCTGCAGCACCTCCGTGAGCGTCGGGTTGTTCTCCCTGAAATCCGACATGGAGAACATGTTTACTTGATGAACGCGTCTGTGAGAACTTCCCGTGGCAGTGACACAGATACTCACGGGTCGACGCTCTTTGCGATGGAAGCCATGATGAAGAGGACGGCCTCTGTGACCTCCCAGGGAGGATTCCCATCTTTCAGCGTGGAGTACAGCTGAGGACAGGAAGTGATGTTAATGAAAGAATAAAGGTGAAACAGATCCCACCTGTCAGCCTGAAACCACCTGAGGATTAGTTACCTGAGCGAAGCACTCCACGGAGCCAACCAGGAAGATGACATCTTTAACAAGGTCAGACACCCTCATCCGGAACTCGCCAAAGTCGTCTGTGTCCTCCGGGATTCCCTCCTGTGGACGGAGAAAAATTCAGACTAAGATTTCATGACCTGAACACCTGAAGCCAACACCTGTGGGTGGAGCCAGAGCTGGAAGTCTGACAGACGCTGACATTTTAGTTTGTTTGTGTTCCTGACTTCACATTCAAAGTGATTCACTGATTACTGATCACTCACGGTGAACACACCTGTGTGCATTATTGTGGACCACCATGGAGACAACAAGGACAGGTAATACAGTCAGGGTTCAACTTACAGCAGTGTGTTCAAACTCAGCATCATAAAAACTTTACACAGAAGGATCTGGAGCCAGACTGCAGCATGAAAAGGTTCTGGTTCTGGTTCTTACATGATCCGGATCGAGCTGGCAGTGCCGGGCCAAACAGTGGAGAAGCCTCTGGATGTACGGTCTGAAGATGGCGTGCAAAGTCGGGTCGTTGATTTTGTACAGGTGTTCCCCAAGACGGTACCAGAAGTTAAAGGAGATCTCCACCACCTGGACCACAGAGAACAGAATCACACACAGAACCATAACGCAGACCAGACAGGCCGACATCCGAATTAGAACATACAGGAGCTTCATATGCCATGTCATATGCAATGCCATGGGGTGTGTTCGTACCTCGTATTGGGGGTGTCCTGCACAGATCAGCAGCAGCTCCAGGGTCCTCAGGTCTCCCATGCCCTGTCCTGGACTCCTGACCGTGGTCTCCAGGAAGGTCTCGCAGAGCTCTGTGAAGATCCTGCAGTAGTTCAGCACTCTGAGGATGAGAATTGAACACGCGTGTTACTGACAATATGTAAACAACACATGAATGCCACAATCAGAACTAGATTTGTCCTCACTTGTCCAGATCTTCTCGGGCTACTGCCATGTGATAGGCCGTCTCTAGTGTCAGGACGCCCTGGAAGAGCTGCAGCGCCAATGCGACGTTGGTCTCCACGTTTTCTATGGCGTAGAGCGCAGAGCACACACAGTCGGAGGACGCCTCGTGGAGGTTGGTAGAGGTTTCGTCCCTCTGCTGTGGAGACAGTTTGGGGTAACATAGAAATATTCACACGATTCCAGATCGAGGCTCACGTGATCATCAGATCATTGACATTGACGGCACTCTCACACTTACCAGGACCTGGAAAAGCACCATGAGCAGCTGGTTGCTCGCCATGAAGTTGCTGTCGAGGACGCCCAGGTTGAACCAGCTGCCCAGACAGCGAAACACCTTAATAAGCATCTTCTCATCATTCCCCGTTTTCTCCACGCAGGTTGTCTGAGGACAAATAAAGTCAGAGTCCTGTTTAAATAAAGATTAGTGACATCATCAGTGACATCTCCATTTTTAGAGTGATAACAGTTTCCGCCACATTATCATTATGGTTTTATTACTAGCCACACCCCTACCTTAATGACAACATGCAGCTAATGTGGCAATCATGTGACAGTTAAACAGCCACTGGCCTGGTGAACAGATACGATCAACATTCAATGGTGTTCAGACAGAAATATTACTGAGCTGTCTGACAGGTGAGAGTCAGACAGGTGTCTCACCAGCAAGGTAACCACGGTGCTTGAGTAGTACGCCAGGTCCTCGATGATCTCCGTCCTCCGATTCGCTCCGATCCTAAGCGAGCGGCTGTGAACTTCCTCTGGGAGCACGGTGAGGATCTCTATGAGGAAGAGCATCGAGCTGATGTCATTGTTGTACCTGAGAAGGGGCGGAGACAGAGGAACAGGTTAGTCACTGACCAGCTTCAGAGAAAACATTGTGTTAGCTGATTTTGTGAATTCTTACTTTTCTATCAGTGTATGAACACATCCTTTCCAGGACGCCATCTGCAGGGCAAGGTCAGCGATCGCCAAAGCCAGCTGAGGGAAAGGGTGATGGTCTGAGTTACTCAAGTAAGAACTATCACAAACAAACTTCCTGTTTTTAAACCCTGATGATGTCACTGCAAGTTCAGCTTACTTTTTACAGTTAAACCCCCGCCCTCCGACAAGGTGTGATAACAACCACACAGATTTATTAAAGCAGGTGTTAACCAGCTCAAGCCAACATTAAACATCACAGGTAAGAAATATTTCTCAGGCTGATTCTGTTACAGAACTCATTCCTCTTAACTAAAGCGATAATCAGCTGTTTCCAGGGAAACCCCACTGAGACAACTTTACAGCTGCCTCAAGCCGAGTGCAAAAGGTGAGGATCAGTCAAGAGTCAATGAAGTCCTATTGACTCCGATGCTTATACTGCCGGAACAGGTGCAGTTACCTGGGTTACAATGATGGGTGACAGGTCCTTGAGGTTTTGGATGTGCGTCAGCAGCGAGTCTCGCAGTGCATTGTGGGTCTCTGGCGGGAGCTCGTAGAAGCTCGTCTGGATCTTCATCTTCATTGTCTGTGCGGCGAAGTAACACGACTCCACGTCCTGTTTGAGCTGCAGCAGCTGGTCTGACACCTCCCAAGCATACATCTGAGGAAGAAGTGATGTCATAGCGAAGGATGGGAGAAGAAAACAATCGACACAGCATAACATTATGATATTTTGTCTATACAGGGACACCAAACAAAAATAAATAAACTAATTAAAATATGAACAAGAGGACTTCTGACTAAATTGAAGGAGGCAACTTTATCAGGTAACTGCTGTATTATCTCAAACAGATTGCACATAATTGCCAACTTGACTCTATTCAGTTGCAGAGTGACTCATATTACGGCAACATTTATGCAGGTCTTAGTGAAATGTTGGTGAGCTTGGTAAGAAAATAAATGAAGAGATGATGTTACATTGTTGTATAAAACAGGTACTAACAAAGTTTAACTTTGACAACATAATCTACAGTTTAAAGGTGGTGATTGCGAATATTACTCTAATACTCGCACACTGTAAAATGTTAAAAAAAAATCTTCAGTGAATTATTTTCATAAGATTGAATCGTGGGCTGTCTGCTGATTCTGCTCCTTATCATTAATGCCCATCAGCCACTCGGGAGAACATCTGAGCAGAACAACAGCCTCACGTTTCCAGCTAGTTGACATTACAATGAACCGTTTGATCCGTTGTCCCCAAAAGACCAACCACCTGACTGAACCTGAAGCTCTTCAGGTGTTCTCCTCAGGTCCACCTGAGACGCTCGAATTAGTTCTCACGTGACTGAAGGCTGTGAGCTGGGGCTCCACAAACACTCCACTGAGCATGCTCACTGATCAGCTGACTGCTACAGGGGGAAACTTTTACCTGCATAACTTCAGCCCTCACGCACAGTGGCTGACCTTTTACCCCAGGTCACCTGACTGTGACCATGCTAACATGCTAACAGCTGAATAAAAACAAACAAGCCGGAACCGCAAACAGGAAGTCCAAACACAGGCAGGGGAGCGCTTCATTTACTCACCTGCAGCAAGGTGACTCACTCACTCATTCACACACACACTCTCTCACACAAACACACACACACAAACAGAAAGAAACAAACAGACACACACACACGTGCGCAGGCAGGCAAAGTAACATACAGACAGCTAGCAGTTAGCATAGCAGCTAGCTCGGCATGTTTTCCTCCATTCATTTTCTTTAGCTTAGCTGTTATGCTAACGGAAGCGGTGGCTCCTCTGAGACTGCGCACTACACTTCACCTGTGCGTTTTCACACAGGTAAAACCCTGAGATCCGCTTCACACAGATCCCCGAAAACACGAAGCGACCTCCGCCCGCCCGGGCCTCTCCCCCCCGCCCTCTCACCGATCTCTGCAGCTCTCCCAGCCACAGCGAGGCGCGCTCCTTCCCGGCCGGGTCCGGGTCGTGGTACAGGGCCTGGACCGCCTGGTACACCAGCGCCAGGCTCGGTTTGCCGCCCTCCATAGCTCGGGTCAGACACAGGGACGCGGTGAGGCAGACAGCTCGGGGTCCGGGTGCTCGGATCCGGGTTCAGGGTCCTAAACGCTCCGAGAGCCGACCGCCATCTCACAGGCTTTCCGCTGCAACGGCAATCCCGGTCCCACCGGAAACACGGGCACCAAAAGAAGTTCCGCTTTGTCCTCCCGGAAGAAGACTTCTGTGAGAGGGCAATTAAAAAATAAAATGATGAAATAAAATGCAGCATATTAAAATAAAACAAAACTAGGGACACAATAATAATACGATACAATAAATTACAATGCAGTACAATAAAAATTAATTTGAATTTAATGACAACTTATCATAACCATCCATCTTCTGCTTCACACCTGGGTTTGGGTGGTGAGGGCAGTAGCCTGAGCCAAAAAGACCAGACCTCCTTGACCCCAGTCACCTTCACCAGCTCATCCAGGGGGAACACCGAGATGATCCCATTTCAGCTGAGAGATTTTATCTCTGAAGTGAGAGCATCCCTAACAGTGGCGGTCCCCCCCCCCACACACACACACACAAAACATATTAAGGATTGTACATTAACATAAAACTGTT